TTAACCACATTTAACGCCTGGTACACGTTGAGTCGTCAGTGGTCTGGTGGCAGCGGTGGGATACGGCAAACGCTGCAAAAAAGAACATGACAATAACGCGATGAACACAATATTTTTTTTACCAGATGGCTTGCAAATGAATCCAGCGATGATTCATGGTGCATGTGAAGGAGAGTATGCAAATGAGAGGGACACTATAGACTGGCCCTTGTAGTTGGGGAGGGCATGATGGATAGCAGACTGACTTTGAGTTAACACAACGAAGTAGATTCAATTGATTACACTGTAGCCAAGCACTCTGGCTGAAATTCTACGTTGAGGCACAAACACAATGACACTCGCTCTCCTTTTTTGTAATAGTTATTCTGGCAGACAATATTCACAGGGAGAGAGCCACACCTAAAGCAAAAACCTTAGTAGTACCAGAGTTTTTTTAATGCCATTATCAACAGGAACTCTATCATCCACTGGTTTCAAAAGCGTCTTCCAAGACAAGAGCTAATTATTTTGTTTTTATAATAAGCCAAATTTAAGTCTTCAAAATAGTGATAGAATGTTTTTAGGGCGAAGAGAAGCCTATTAGGAAATGGCGTTACTCGAAGCCGCCTTAAGAACCAATGAGAGAATTGTCAGAATTTGTATGCTGTCTATTCCAGTACAAAGGGTAGCTGAGCGGACTTCCGGTATTTGCCGAGGACATTAGTTGGAAATTGTTTATTCATCTGTCTGTTTATTTATAGTTTTTTTTCAATATTTTGTCTTGTTATTTTGTCATTTTGATGTTTTATTTTTTTAGGATTTTTTTTTTCACGTTTTTTTTTTTTTTTTAGCGTTTTTTTTTTATCTTGAAGTTCAATAATTTTGTCATTTTGTGATTTTGATTTCGACGCAGGTGTATGTCTTTAGTTATGTTAGCATATAATAATATATAGGTATATAATATGTATTATATATATATATATATATAATATATATAATTATATAATATGAATGAGGGACTGATATATATAGTATTACCCAACATCAAGTCATAGTCGTGGTAGTCACCTGTTGTTCGTCAGTATTCTCTTGCCTTGCTTACTGCACTTTTTTTTGTCGTATCTACTCTTCTCATTCTTTTCTCGATTCTCGCTCGTCGTCTCTCTCTCTCTCTCTTCTCTCTCTTCTCTCGTACGTCGTGCCTCTCCTCATCCTGGTGACCTCTCTCTCTCTCTGCTCTCCCTCCTATGGCCGTGCCGACTCCTCCACTCTCTTACTCTTTGCGCCTTGATTCCCTACTTTGTGATCTCCTTTCCGCTCACACCTCTCTCTTCTTTTTGCTTTCTCCCGTACCCCCTAGCTTCTCTCGTGTTCTGCATTCCGTTCTTCCAATCTTCTCTTCCCTCTTCTTTTTTCATCTTTCTCTCTGTCGATTTCCTTCCGAGAGCCTCTCTCTCCCTCCTCTCTTCCTCCCCCCCTTCTCTTCTCTTTCTCACTTCCTTTTACTTTCTTCTCGTCCACTTAAGTTGACTGTTCCCCCCGTCTTACTTTTTTTCTCCCCCTCTTCACTCTAATCTCTCCTACCTTTAACTCCTATTCAACTCTCTCTCTCCCTCTTGTACTCGCCTCCGACACTACTCACTATTGTCTCCTCTTCTCTTTTTCTCCCTCTTCCTCCCTCCCTTCTCTCTATTATCTCCTCTCTCTCTCGTCCCTCATCTCTTTCCTTTTCTCCTTCCCTCCCCCCCCCACTATCTCATCATCTCCGTTTTTTTTTTTTATTTCCCCAAAAACATTTTTTTCATTTTATCCTCCTTCTTTCTTCCCCTTCCTCCCCCCCCCAAAACCTTCGCTTCTCCGCATACCATCGTTCCCTTCTCTCTTCTCTCTAATCCTCTCTTCTTATGCTTCCCTTCCCCCCCCCGCTCCCCACTGTCTCGATCTCTCCGTCTCTTCCTCTTCCTCCCCATTTCGCTCTCCCATCCCCGTTTCCCCTTTTTTATTTTTTATTTTATTATTTTTTATTCATTTTTTTTTATCCATTCCTCTTCACGCCCACTGGTCACTTCGACCTTGACAACCGGTATCCGAATCATTAAAAGTCCAGAGCCACACCATTTAAAAAAAATGTTTATAACGTTTCCGATCAGACCACGAGAGGAAGAGGAGAGAAGACGACCGAGGGTAGGGAAGGGGAGCATGGTACGTAAGAGGGGAATGGAGAGGAGGAGAAGAGAGGAGAGAAGCGAATGAGAGAGAGAGAGAAATCGAGAGAGAGGGAGGAGAGGGGGGGTATGGAGAGTCGCGGAGAGAAGACATTCACAGATATCGAGGAAGGAGAGGGAATGCTAAATGAAAGAGAAATGAGAAGAGGGCGGAAGGGGAAGAGGAGAAGGAGTGAGAGGAGACGAGAGATAGCATGGGAGTGGCGAGGAGAATCGAACGAGAGCGACACGGGAGGCGAGAAGGGACGGAGAAGCAGAATGGACGTAGTAGAGAGTGAGGGAGAGATAGATAACGAGATAGATAGATAGAACAAGTAGAGATCGAGAGAGAGGGAAGGGACGCTCAGTTGGAGCGTATCAGATAGAGAGAGAGAGAGATGAAGGAATATGTGAGGGAGAGAGATAGAGATATAGATAGAGAGAGGAGACGAGTGGCAGACGGTAAGAGGAATAGGTAAGATGAGGAGAGAGAGAGAGGGGTGGAGGTAGAGAGCTAGAGAGAGGAGAGAGCACGACGATGTGATGAAGAGGGAAGGGTTGAATGAGGCGAAAAGAGTGGTGGAGAGAGATGAAAGAGAGACGAAGGGAAGTAGAGAGAAGAGAGTGGAGATGAGAGAGAGATAAGGATGGAGAGTGAGATAGTGAGAAAGAGAGGAGATGATAGGTGAGAGAGAGATAGGCTACTAGGAGAGAAGAGAAGAGAAGAGAGGATGGTGAGCGGGAGGGAGATGAGAGAGAGAGAGAGAGAAGGAAAAGAGAGCAGAAGAAGAGAGGAGAGAGAGAGGAGACAGAGAGGCATAGGGAAAGGGGAGAGGAGAGGAGAAGAGAATGACGAGAGAGATGAGAGAGAGACTTGAGAGATGTGGAACGAGAGAGATGTAAGAGTGAAGAGAAGGAGAGAGAACAAGGAGGCATGCTAAGAATGGCTCGAGAGGGTACAGGCAAGCGAGGAGAAGAGAGAAATATGGCCCATGAGCGATCTGATTGACGGGGATAGGGGAGAGAAAAGAAGATAGGAGACAGAGAAAGATGGAGAGGAGACGAGACGTGAGTGAGGGACTATTCTGACTGAGAGAGCACAGAGAGAGAGAGTTTTATTCTTCTTATTGATTACTGCATATCGCCTAATGTTTATTATCATCGTCATAATTAATTACCATCATCATCATCACGACTATTCATTCTATACTAACCTCACCACCACCGATGAATTTAATTTTACCGATAAAAAAATATTCACCATTACAGGCAGGCATAATGTTTTCATAATTTACCCTCTTATCTGGAGCTACACGGGAATCAATAGAAGTTTATTACTGCAAAGAATGGATTCAGAGCGGGAATGGACAGTATAGTAGATGAGAGGTCAATTGACACGGGGAAGCACTGTTTGTTATCTGGACACTGTTTTTTTTTTTTTTTTTTTTTTTTTTATTTTTCTTTTTTTTTTTTTTTTGGGGGGGGCGATAGATGTTGGCGTTGTAAATTGGGGGTATGGACGATAAAAAAATTGCGTTTGTATGTTGGTTTAGGTACATGTAACGCATAACCATATATATACAGACAGACAGATAAAACAATACACATGCACAAAACAACTCTCTTCTCTCTCTCTCTCTTCCTCTCTTCTCTCTTTCTTCTTTCTCTCTCCCTCTCTCTCTCTCTCTCTATCCTCCTCCTCCTTCTCTCTCTCTCTCTCTCTCCTCTCTCACACACAACACACACACACACACACACATACACACACACACACACACACACACACACACCACACACACACACACACACACACACAACACACACACACACACACACACACACACACAAGCCAAGAACAAGCACTAGGCCTGCGACGAGTTTCTGGAATCTGAGAGAAAGAAAGAAGAGAAAGACAAAACAAAACAAGAAAATAAATATATATGCACACGTGATACTAACGGTAATAATCATTCAACGTTGAAGAAGTAACATTCGGTGTAAATTTGCAGTGTAATAATAGTAGAATTATCTTCAGTGTGAAAACAAAAAATCTATTCTATCCTTGTTACAACGAATTAATGATAATAATAATAATAATAAAAATGGGGTGCCACACAATATTGTATTTTATATAACCTTTTTATTCGTTGAGATACTATAAGCCCGTTTCTCGAGATAAAAAAGAACCAAATTTAAGCCAAAGGCGAGCAATTTTGGTAAATAAGGGAATAACAAGAGTGGATTATTGTCACAGAGCAACATATTCTGTCGCATTGTTAAGCTGTTTGTCACTAACCACCAGCCAGCCAGAAGTATCCTTGCTACAGGCTAATCTCTGTGTAGGTTTTTATTCTTTATGTCTGAGGAGTATTTTTCTTTCTCCATTCATGTCTAGAAAAAAAGAAAAAAATGTGGAAGAATGATTCACTAAGACAACAAATATTTTATTGTAGATGCTGAATCAGGGATTTATTTCATTTTATTTTTTATTTTCATTATTATTATTATCATTTACTCAACTCAGTTCTGGCTAGCGTGAGATATGTGTGCATAACTATGTATATACGACTACATAGACACAAGTACAGTATATGTACGGTATATGTATATATAGAGGTAAGTGTATATACATATGTTTATATATATACATGTATATACATACATACACACACACACACACACACACACACACACACACACACACACATATATATTATATATATATATATATATATATATATATATATATATATATATATACATATATATATATATATATATATATATATATATATATATATATATATATATTATATTTTTTTAATGGTCCATGGAGACTGTAACAGAATTAGACATATGTGACAGTTCCGGCAGTATCAGTGAATAGATTGCGAATGAAGTTATTTATTAGAATGAAGTGTAAGAGAAAACTAATGGAGATTAAAAGAGGAAAGATTAATTTATGTACAAGTTAAATCATGGAAAGATATTGATAGAATGGGACTGAGGGTTTTGATTCCGTCTCATATTTTTATTTCATTTTAATGATTATTGATTTATAATTAGAAAAAGGGAGGGAATTGAGTTAACTTTGGATATGAGTTGAGTTAGTGGAGAATATTGCTTGTTTATGTTGTAAATATTCATTGCCAAGATTTGCATTACAATATGCCACCTGTTTGTTGTCATTTGTTTATTGAATAAAATGCCAACGGGTAATGATATTTCACATACATATACATATATGTGTGTGTATGTGTTTGTAAACGTAGCACCAAAAACAAAATTAAAACTCCAAATTAAAATGAAAAAGCACTGAAAACTTCCCCATTCTGCTTAATTGCATTTACATATTTTGATGAGTTAAAAGTCACGTCTCCCCCCCTCCCCCCTTACTTTCCCCTTACCCATTCCCCTCCTCCTCCCCCCTTCCCTTCCCCTCCCCCTCCTCCTCCTCCCCCTCCCCCCCTTCCCCCTCCTCCTCCCCTCTCCTCCCCTCCCCCTCCCCCCCCCTTCCCCCTCCTCCCCTCCTCCCCCCCCTCTCCCTCCCCCTTCCCCCCCTCCTCCCTCCTTCCTCCCCTCCTCCTCCTCCTCCCCCCTTCCCCTTCCTCCCCTCCTCCCCTCCTCCCCCTCTCCCCTTCCCCTCTTCTCCTCCCTCCCCCTTACCTTCCCCTCCTCCTCTTTTCTTCCTCCTCCCCCTCCCTCCCCTCCCTCCTTCCCCCCTTACCCTTCCCTCCCCCCTCCCCCTTTCCCCCTCCTCCCTCCTCCTCTCCCTCCCCCACTTAAAAAAAAATAATAAAAAAAAAAACTCTCATTCCTCTTGTAAAATAAACAACTTAATTTTCAAGACTAGAAGTTAAAGCACAGAACGTAAGCACACTTTATCAAAGAAGAGAGAGAGAGAGAGAGAGAGAGAGAGAAAAAAGATGGTCATTAGAGCGTCTACGAGAAGAGAAAAAAAATGGAGGAAAAAGAAAAGGAAATTAAAAAAAAAGGCTTTGTTATATCTTGTGCCACAGGAGAGGCATTTGAATGTCGACTTCCAGGCTCTTTTCTCTCGAGGGAAAGGAGTGCCAAGTGACCTTCAGTTTCTCCCTGTCTGTCTCTGTCTGTCTGTTTGTCTTTGTTTGTCTCTGTTTGTCTGTCTACGTCTACTCTCTCTTTCTGTCTGTCTCTGTATGTTTGTTTGTCTGTCTACGTCTACTGTCTCTTTCTGTCTGTCTCTGTATGTTTGTTTGTCTGTCTGTCTTTGTTTGTCTCTGTCTTGTCTGTCTGTCTCTCTCTCTTTCTTTCTGTCTGTCTCTGACTCTGGCTCTGTCTTTATATTTAACTTTCACAGTCTCTCTCTGTCTGTCTCTTTCTTTCTCTCTCTCTCTCTGGCTTTTCTTTCTCTCTCTCTCTCTGTCTATCTCTTTCTTTCTCTCTCTCTCTCTCTCTCTCTCTCTTCTGTCTCTTCTCTCTCACTCTCTCTCTCTCTCTCTCTCTCTCTCTCTCTCTCTCTCTCTCTCTCTCTCTCTCTCTCTCCTCTCACTCACTCTCACTCTCTCTCTCTCTCTCTCTCTCTCTCTCTCTCTCTCTCTCTCTCTCTCTCTCTCTCTCTCTCTCTCTTCTCTCTCTCTCTCTCTCTTTCCTCCTCTCCTCCTCATCATCATCATCTCCTCTCTTCCCTCCCTCTTCGCATTCTCCTCCTCCTCCTCCTCCTCCTCCTCTCCCTCCTCTCCCTCCCTCCCTCCTTCCTTCCTCTTCAGCTACACATTCCGCGCTCTTAACACCACCAGAATATTTTCTTATTCTTTCCTTCTTTTTCTCTCCGAAGAAAATATTTCTCCAAACCACGTGACCGAGAAGCGTTCCAGCGTTCCTTGCGGTCATCTCAGGGAAGAAAAAGTGTTCCATCGTTCCTCTTGGTCAAGGTTTCGTAAAGTAGCGAAATGAAAAAATAAGTATTTTCTTTTTTATATCCTAAGATATACTTTTTAAAAATGTTATCTGGTGCTTGTTTAAGGGAAAACAGGCAAATGCGAAATGAAAAAAAAAGTATTTTCTTTTTTATATCCTTAAGAAATGGAGTGGAAATATATCTGTTTAATCATTTATTAATTTTTATAATAATCTGTTTAATCATTGTAAAATAATCATAATCTGTTTAATCATTGTAAAATAATCATAATCTGTTTAATCATTGTAAAATAATCATAACCTGTTTAATCATTGTAAATAATCATTAATTTGTAATCATTGTAAAATAATCATAATCTGTTTAATCATTGTAAAATAATCATAATCTGTTAATCATGTAAAAATAATCATAATAATCATTGTTATCATTGTAAAATAATCATAATCTGTTTAATCATTGTAAAATAATCATAATCTGTTTAATCATTGTAAAATAATCATAATCTGTTTAATCATTGTAAAATAATCATAATCTGTTTGATCATTGTAAATAATCATAATCTGTTTAATCATTGTAAAATAATCATAATCTGTTTGATCATTGTAAAATAATCATAATCTGTTTAATCATTGTAAAATAATCATAATCTGTTTAATCATTGTAAAATAATCATAATCTGTTCAATCATTGTAAAATAATCATAATCTGTTTAATCATTGTAAAATAATCATAATCTTGTTTTCATTGTAAAATAATCATAATCTGTTTGAATCATTGTAAAAAATCATAATCTGTTTATCATTGTTAAAATAATCATAATCTGTTTAATCATTGTAAAATAATCATAATCTGTTTAATCATAATGTAAAATAATCATAATCATTGTAAAATATCATATCTGTTTAATCATTGTAAAATAATCCCATTTAAAATAATCCTGTTAATCATTGTAAAATGTATAAGCTTTTGGTAAGAATGCAGTAGTAGACTATTAGAATTAGCAACAAGACTGACACGAAAAGATATGAAATTTAACCATTGGTAAAAGATACAATTAAACATAATTGAAATAATACTTCTTTTGAAATTATTATTTCTTCTGTCAGCGATAATGACCATGGTATTGTTGGTGTGATTGTGATAATGTCAGCGATAACCATAACAGTGATAATGATAATGGTATTATTTGTTGAAGCAACAACAAGAGTGTTGATGATAATGATAACATTGACAGATTGGTGTATGTAGGCCTAGGTTAGCCATTGTCTATTTCATGTCTTAGAAAATGTGTTGTTGAGTAAAAGAGAATGAATAAATAAAGCACAAAATATTTCATCTCATCTCTCTCTCTCTCTCTCTCTTTCTTTCTCTTTCTTCTTCCTTTCCCTTTCTCTTCTCTTTCCCTTTCTCTCTCTCTCTCTCTCTCTCTCTCTCTCTCTCTCTCTCTCTCTCTCTCTCTCTCTCTCTCTCTCTCTCTCTCTCTCTCTCTCTCTCTCTATCTCTCTCTCTCTCTCTCTCTCTCTCTCTCTCTCCTCTCTCTCTCTCTCTCTCTCTCTCTCTCTCTCTCTCTCTCTCTCTCTCTCTCTCTCTCTCTCTCTCTCTCTCTCTCTCTCTCTCTCTCTCTCTCTCTCTCTCTCTCTCTCTCTCTCTCTCTCTCTCTCTCTCTCTCTCTCTCTCTCTCTCTCTCTCTCTCTCTCTCTCTCTCTATCTCACGAGCTCCATGAATGTTATTTATTACGACAAAAGACTATATGTTTCCACATCCTGTTTCACAACACCCTTAACTGCTAATTTGTAAAATTGTATTTTTCGAAAAGAGTTAAGAACGGGTTTTCCTTACAACGCACGTAATAAATAACCCTTAAAGACTCTTACAATATATGTACATTTTGGCTGATTATTCAATACCTTACGTAATACCTCTTCAATCTCTTTATTTAATTATCTTCGAATTGTTATTGTTATTGAAAGTGGCTGCTGTAACTTTCAGTGAAGTTCTCCTGTGAAGTTCTCCTGATTGCAGAAGAAGAGGTTCCTGTAATGTGGCTTTTTGCAACATTCTCCAAGAAAACATGTTGCCAGCTCGTCTTTTTTTCCTCCCCTTTTTCTAAGGATGTTTGGCTCATACAGAGAGAAATAGACTATTTATAGATTTATTCTTAGATAGAAAGACCACTTTTATTTATTATTTCTATCACTTGCATAATTTCTGAAAGAAGTGAGGAATAAGGATGGAAAAGGAAGGAGAGAAAGAATTGATGAAGATGGAATAGAAATAATGACGCAATAAATGATGTATAGCAAATAGCAATAACGAAGCAAAACGTAATAATTACATACATGATAATAACGATGTGGTTGATGGTTATCATATATAAAAGAATATAAAAGAATGATATTGTATATGAATATAGATATAATAATGATAAATGTATATATAATGTAATAATGATATAAATAATGATATCGTATATAAATGTAAATAATATCGCATATGCATATTATATACATAATAAATATAAATATGATATAATAATAATAATTATATAATAAAGATGGAATTATATAATAAATTGTATAATAAATTATAAAATATAAAATATATAATAAAGATGCGAAAAAGACATGAGAATATGTGAATAAACCGAAAATTTAACGTACCAAACGCATACATATGAGAAAAACAGCATCTTTCACCATCCTACTTCCTTCTCGGCTGGCAACACCCACCTGCCACTTATTTAACCCTTTGTCACTGTAGAAATTGCACCATCAACTTCCGGTGTCTTGAAGAGTTGACACGGGGGGAGCAGAGGCTAATTTTAGAGAATGCAAAATTCTATCTAATAAGGTTGCCTGGACTCCGTAAGTGTGTGGGTGGTTGTGTTGTTTTTTGTTATGTATTGTGTGGTGTGGGTGATGTGTGTGTGAGTTGATGTTTGTGCGTCGTGTGTGTTGTATGTGCTTTGTTTGTGTGTGTGTGTGTTGTGTGTTTGCGTTATGTGTGTGTTGGTGGTGTTTGTGTGCCGTGCGTGTTGTGTTTGCATATGTTGTCGTTGAACGAGCCGTGAGCAGTGTGCATGTGTGTGAGTGTGTGTTGGCTAAGTGTGCACGTGTGATTGTGTACGTGTGCGGTGTATGTACATGTTGTAATTGCAAATATAAACCCACACTTTCTTTCCCCTCATCATATGACTACCACATAACCCCCACTCCTCAACCACCTTCCTACCCCCCCCCCTACCCCCACCCCACCCCACCCCACCCTACCCCCTTTCCCTACACGCGCACCACAAACGCCGCCAACCTATCCACACACACTCTCCTAAACACCGCTCACTTCGGCGACCTTTCTTGACCTACCTTCTCGGCGTCTTAGAAAACCTGCGCTCCTTCACTGGGGTTCGGGGACAAGGAACGGATAAAGGAACCACTTCGGATATTCTACCACCTGGGCGCCTCTCTTGGCTTAGGGACCGTATGCTTGTTGTTGTTGTTGTTGTTGTCTGTTGTTTTGTGTGTTGTTGTTGTTGTTGTTGTGGTGATTATCATTCATTATAATATTAATATCATTATTATTCTTTATTATTATATTTTATTATTATTATCATTATATTATTATCATTATTATTATTATTATTGTTATTATCGTTATCATTATCTATTATTATTATTATTTTTATTATTGCTATTATTATGTATTATGCTATTATTATGATATCATTATTATTATTATTATATCATATTATCTATTATTATTCATTATTATTATCTATTATTATATTATTATCATCATCAACATTATTTATTATATTATTTTTATTATGATTATTATTATTATTATTATTGTATCATTTATTGTATCTATCATTATTTTATTTTCTTTTTTGACGGCAGGACAACACATCAAGTTATTACATCGATTTTATTTGTTTGTTTTCTCTATAGATTTATTTACCTATTTTGGTTCTTTGTTTCTATTCATATATAATTCTCTAATAACTTTATTTATTTGTTTACTCAGTTGTGTCCTGTATTTATCATATATTCATTATCTATTAATTTTTTATTTTACCTATCTATTTGTTATTCATTGAAAATTATTCATATTTCACATTTATCAATTGCTTACCTTTACCTGTTCATTTGGACATTCTATTCATATTTCCACTTATTATTTTACATAATCTATATAATTTACACATTTATTCACTTATCTAATCTGCGTGAGCACGCACCTGTTCCCATCTTTAGATATAAAAAAGAAAACCCAGAAATTCCTCAGAAACGTGCATCCATATATGACTATATATATTATATTAACTATATATTATACTATATTAACTATATATATCACTCTACTATATTACATATATATATATATATATATATACTTATTTCTTTATTTCTTATTATTTAGTTATGTATTTATTTATCTAGTATTCAAACTTGCTTCATTCATCATTTTTTTTCTATTTGTTAGATATTTATCAATATTTCATCTGTTTATACTTTCATTTGTTCATTCATTCACTTTTTTTCTATTTGTCTTAAAATATTTATCAATCTATCTATGTAGTTATTTATTATTCTTTACATACAGTTTCTTTTTCCACAAGCGATCGAATGATAATGATAATGATAATGATAATATTAATGATATAATAATAATAATAATAAAATAATAATTAATAGTAATGAATAATAATAATAATAATAATAATAATGACGATTAATAATAATACCATAATGATTATGATAATTATTAATAAAAAAAACAAAACAGCAGAATTATAATAAATCTATAAAAAAAATCAACACGAAACATGCAAACCATTCGACAATACAGAAAAAAACACAAAAAAAAGAAAAATCAAATACAAAACTCACAAAAAAGAGACAAAATACACTACCACACTCATCTACCCTCCCAAAAAAGAATTACATCCTAAAATCAAAACGCAAATTCAAGCACTCACCCCCTCTCCCATAACAAAAAAAAAAAAGAACCAAAACTCTCCTCAGCCTAACCAATCATAAACAAACAAACAACAATCACACGCATCATAACAAATGAGCTACTAAGCTTTGACTACTCTACTAAAGCACGCCCACCACACCTCGAGACACTCCAAGTAAAAACGGGAAACTAAGCGGACTCGGACCGACGAAACTGCGACAGTACGGAACAGGAAATTAGCAAGAGGAACAAGGAGACGGTTCTCTGCGGGCGGAAAGAAGACAATTGAGAGGAAGATGGCGGACGGAAGGTGACGGGAGAAGGTAAGGGCAGATGGGGGAGGGAGAAGAGAAGGAAGAGGAGAGGAAAAGGAGCGAGACGGGGAGGAGGGAAAGAGCGCAGCGCAAGTGAGTGGAAGGGCGGCAGGGAGGGAGAGAGATGCTTCGTAGGGAGATAGGATGGCGAAAGGAGTAAGGAGGAGGGAGAGAGACGGGCACGTGGGGAAAGGGAGACTGCGGTCGGTTAGGAAGGGATAAGAGGAGAAGGCGAGAGAGATAAAAAGAGAAATAAGCATAGTCTCTATGGACAGAGAGTGAAAGATCAGGAAAAGACTTTACTCGTAGTCGAGAAATAAAAAGAAAATAAAAAAATTCAGAGAATGACAAAAAAACGAGAAATCACATAATGACAAATAGAAAATACCAGAAAGTGAAAGACAAAGAAGCTTTTTACCCTCTAGACCCTTAGGCGTGCAGAGCACACACCTCAAGCAAGGTCACGTC